TAGTATTAGTATTAGTATTAGTATTAGTATTAGTATTAGTATTAGTAGCATTATCCATGCCTGTTTTACTAGTTTGCTAGGAGTACTATAATAGAATACTGCAGACTGGCTAGCTTAAACAGCAAAAATGTATTTTTCCATAGTTCCAGAGGCTAGAAGTTCAAGGTGCTGTTTTTGTTTTTTGTTTTTGTCTTTGTTTTTTTGTTTTTTTTTTTTTTCCTGGCTCCTCCTGCTATTGTTTTCACATGACCATCTTCTCCTCCCCTCGGCCCCCACTCTGTGAAGGTCCCTAGTGTTTGTGTAAGTATTGAACTATGAATATGGAATTTCCTGTTTGTAAAAGCACATCAGCCAGATTAGGCTGGGCCAGTCGTATTCTGAGGACTGAGAGACCAGGGTGTCGATGTATGAGTTTGAAGGAGGACAAAATCCACCGAAAGTGTGTCCATATCTCTGCATACTTGTTTCTTTTCTGCAGAGCTTAAATGTGGTCATAAAGTGGCATGTGAGGAAATGTGTGCTCTGGTCTGCACAAGTGGGTGAAGCTTCCTGCCCATTGAACAGGCCTCTTCTGTCATCTCTGTCATGGAGGCTATAGTGCAGAAATGTGCTATAGTCTTTAAAAATCCTTTTCTATTTTCAGAATTCAGTATTAGCATACTGAAAATAATCTTAATCTGGACCTAACAGGCATCTGAGTTGGTCAGCCTGCCAGCTCTCCCACACCCACACCCACACCCACACCCCTGGGTCTACTTCATCCATTGCTACAGCCAGCAAGGGGGTAGAAGCAGCTGTCCCCCTCTCATGCCCTGGGGGCCACCGCATCCCTGTCCATGCCATTAGGGCCAGCTCTATTGTGCTGCCCAGGCAGGTGCAAGGCCCACTTTCCCCAGGGCTGCAGCAGGCTAGGGGCCGGGGCAGCTCTCCTGCTCTCAGCTCTCAGGCCCTCAGGTCTGACTCACCCCAACATTTGGCCCATCTATGAACTGCTGGAGTGTGTGAAGGCACACTCCTACAGATCCAAAACTACAGGGTCTCCATGACACAGGGGAGCAACAAGATGTCCTAGAGGAGACCCAGGAGCTTCCAGTAATTAGTGCGCAGGATCCAGAGGCCTTGTACCAGATCAATGAGTCATGGCAGTGAGTATTTGCAGAAAAGTGTGGACAAATGGTATATGGTGGGAAATCTGTAACACACTGCAGCTTCCACAATAAAATATTTTCTTTTGGGGTGGAGGTTGCAAGGGTGTAGGGTGGATGTGAGGGAAGGGGAAGATGAGTGAGAATGGGGTACATGATGTGAAATTCACAAGGAAACAATAAAAAGTATTTTTTAAAGAAAAGTCTTAACCTAATTAATCCCAAGAATTCATCCATAATTTTATTCAAAAGCAAACCAGTAGGTTGTGAGTAAACAGAACAGTCACTGCCACTCAGTCCAAGGCCTGGTCGTTGGGGTTCTGACCTTCTGGAGAAGTCCTGTGGCCTTGCTTTTTTGTGCCTCATGTGTCTCTGTGTTGTGATGTGATTGTGTGTGTGTGTTGTGTCTCTTGCAGCCTTAGATGGGGATCTTCCTCGTGAGCCACCTGCTCTCGAGGCTCAGTCCCTAGCACCACTCAGAGAGGAAAACATAGACCAGTGAATCAGCAGAAGTGGTTGTCCATGCAGGCGCAGAATTGTAGCTAAATGCATTGCATTGCCAAAGAGCAGAAAAGGAGAAAACTGAGAAGGTGTGCTGTGAAGGGAGACATTATTTAGGGAAGACGTGGAAATAGTAAGTGAGGTGAAGGATGAAGCCAGGGGGTTGGGAAAACAGTGGAAGAAGCAGGGTCAAACAAGAACGAAAACAGAAGAGGAGCAGAGGAAATGTTGAAAGGGAGGAGAGAGATTAGAAAAGTAAAAAGATAATTAAAAAAATACTTCCTGATGAGAAAAAAATGTAACCAAATTTAAAAACATGTAAGAAGGGGGATAAAAATAAAAGGATTAAGTCCATTTAAAACACCAAAAAGATAAAGTCAAAACGCTGCTAAAAGTGTAGTGGAAAAAGGGGGGCGGGGGGAGGCAGGAAAAGATTTTAAAAGGGGCAGTGATGAAAGATTGCTCAGCAACCAGCAATGAGCACAGTGTGAAAGCAAATGACCACCTGGAGGGAATAAAAGATAAAGACACTTAAAGTTTTCAAAATATGATAAAGTAAAAATAATACTAAAAGTACAATTTAAAAAAAGTTAGGAGTAGTGGAAACAGGAAGAAAGCAAAAGCACAACAACAAAAACCAGATAAAGTGCTGAAAGGCTTCTTCCTAGGCCATTGGATGCCAGAGACTGGCAGCTATGTGCGTGGGACAGGCATGACAGCCGTCTAGCGTATGGGCTGAGCTTGTGCTGGTCAGGCACCGGATGTTCACCACGTTGTTCACCACAGCTCTCCTCCTTGTAGAATCCTTCTCTGTGTATCGGGGCTTCTGACCGGAGTGCCTTGCTTTCCAGTCTAGACAGCTTCTCGGGCCTGCTGGTCTCCCCAGACTATGCCTGCCCCTTAGGTTAGCTAGTGCTTTAGCTGAAGGGAGTTTCCTAGGCATACTGGGAGTTGAAGAGGCAGCCACAGCTCAGAGCTCTGTGCAGGCCGAAGGGTGGACACCTGCCTATGTGCTTTCCAGACTCTGTGGTTCATCGTGCAGAAGGAAGGCATTCCATGAGCGCTTCAGAGTCCCTGTGCTCCATGGCACTGGACTGCACACAGGTGGCGACTCGGCCCACTTAGCGACCTCAGGTTTATGCAGAGCGAACGCCAAAGTTAATTTTAATAGAGAAGACCTATTCCTGACAATTGAGGGCAAGATCATCTTTCCCTTCACTACTTGAGCCGAGAGCCCCCTGTCACTGACTTTTTGGTGTGTCAGTATCTACTCTGTGTCTCCCAATTGCCTCTCAGAGCTGTCCCACTTTCAGACTGTCTCAAGATCCCTGACAATGGTCATTTCAATGGTACCCAAGGCAGATCATCTGTAAACAGCAGCTTCTCTCTCAAGATGGTGCCTCTGCCCTCCTAGCTATCCTGAGTGATAATGTGAGCTTTCTCCCCACTGCTGACCCATCTCTTTCACCACGATTGACAACAGCATTTGAGGCTTCTGAGGGCTTGGGGCTTACACCGAGGGTAGCACTACCAGGCTCTCGTCACTGAGGTGCTTGGCTCCCTTAGCTCTACTTCACTCCCCCGCCAGGAAGCCATGCAGCTCCAGCTGAGCCTGCCTTGGATGATTTCTTTTTGGCACCCCACCTGTCTTTCTGTGCTTTTCAGCTCCTTTATCGTTGCCTTCATTAATTTCTGGACTTGGCATCTCTCTCTTTGGAATAGAGCCTGTTTTTATCCTGTTCTGACTCTTCTCCTTCACAGGTCATATCACAGGTCCTAGAGTCTTAAGGAGAAGTCCCTACAGTCTTTTCTCAGATCTGCTGATACATCAGTGACATAAACAGCTGAGGGTGGGAAGGATGGCTCACAGTTTAAGGGAACACAGTCCAGCATGGTGGGGAAGCGCAGTGGCTGGGCTCACTTGGTCTGTGGTGGTGGAAACATGGGGAAGCTGGCAGAGAGGAAGCAGAGAGCTACAGCCAGAAGCTGAGCTGCAGAAAACCCTCAGAGGCCCCCATAAACCTCTTGTTGTTAGCTAGACCTTCTGCCCTAAATGTCCACAACACAATTGTTCAGACTCATGGGTCTGTGGAGGGCATGTCACATTCAAAGCATAACAATGGAATAATATTAGGTAATTTCTGGAGGCTCTGTGTGATGTTTCTAATGGGGAAAAAAAAAAAGCAGGTTTCAACATGTATGTATTTAGTAAGTATTCATCCAGTGTTAGACAGGACTCTAGGGTGTGGGGATTTGGTAGTAGACACAGAAAGATGTCTGCCATCATGAGGCCTGAGTTGTGCTGAGAAGTGCTGATAACAAACATCTAGATAAGAGATACCAGGTAGCATGGAGAACTGAGGAAAACCAAAGCAAGTGGAGAACAGAAGGATGGAGGAAGGCAGAGCCAGGATTTTAGCTTCTGACAAAAATACCCCAACAGAAGCAACTTGAGGGAAAAAAGGTTTTATTCGGGCTCATTGTTGAAGGGCGTTGTCTCTCCTGGCAGGGAAGTCAAGGCAGCAGGGACCTGGGGCAGCTGGTCACAACTGTGCACAGTGTGGAGAGAGACTGCTGAGTTCCTGTGCCCAGCTCATGATCTCTGGGATCGAATCCTAAGGAATTATGCCAACTGCAGTGAGGAGTCTTTGCACCTCAGCTAATCTAGTCAACATAGTCTCCCTCTAGCAGACCCTGAGCCCCAACTCCCAGGTCATTCTAGATCTCATGGAATTGACAGCTGAGATTAACCACAAAAGCCTTTCTGTCAGCAGGGTCTCCATGGTCATGGCCCTTGAACAATGCCTGGATTCAAGTGAAAATGGGAGTGGTTGGACCCATGGGGAGAAGATTCATGAAGAGAGTGTACCAGGTGCAGAGGACATGAGGCAGGACGATGTTACCCACATGTGTGGAGAATCTCAAGGGGCCAGAGTGGCTGGAGAGGTGTGAAGCTAGCAAGGGCTTTGATGCCAGGATAGTGCAGTCTCAAGTCTGGGAACATAAAGTGCAAGTTCAAAGGGAAGATCTCTGTAGACTCATGGGATTGCAACTCTATGGTGCAACTTCATTCTCTTCCCGCCTTTTCAACCGAATAACAAATCACTACCACGTGTGTGTGCTCCCTTAGGAAAGAAACCCAAACATGCACACACACACATA